AATATGAATAAAATTTACTAATAAAACTTTGTCTTTCATAATTGATGACTTTAATAGTTATTTTTTTAACTTGTAATGAAATAAAATTAACCATATTACGGCTATACGTTAAATTAGTTTCATAAAGGTCTTTATTAAGAAAATAATAAATATCAAATAAATTATTTGATGTTAAAGTACGATTACGAACATGATTCAAACAAGTAAATGAGGTAGATGTAGCTAATATATCGTATTCAATTAATAATTTTAATGGTTTATGATTTTGATGTAATTTACCTAAGTCACTTAAGTTAAAAATATATGATATACCATTATTAATATTGATATTATCAATTTCAAAATATTGCATATTATTTAATTTGTAAGACTTATACACTGGTTTAAATTTATTAATATATTTTTTAATAATATTATTATTTTTTATTTTTAATAATCTAACATCATCTAAAATATACGATATTACTATGTTTTTAATTTCTATTGGTAAATAATAAAATATCATATAATATTAATATATTTATTTTTTTAATTAGTAATTTTCAAATATTGAGAAAAAAATTTCATAAACATTTTATCTGGGTTCTTTTCTAAAAGGTTAATATATAAAAAACTATGTGGTTCATCAGTGGCGGTCTCATATATTTTATAAATTAGTTTCTTGCTTTCTAGTAAATTATCACTTCTAACAATTGCTGATAATTCATCTTGTAATATTTCTATTTCTTTAAAGTTTCTAACTTTATAATAAAACAAATGACTTATATTTACCCTAATAATTGGTGGTACTGTTGATGATTTTTGAAGACTTACAAGTGTTGATATTCCACTATGACGTCCCCTACAGAATAAAGAATTTAACAATTTGTTATTTCTTGTTATTGCTGGATTATCAGATACATCATCCAAAATTACCAAAATATTAAATAATTTCTTCGTTCCTTGTTTTTTCTGGTATTCAATTATTTTATTTTGAGTTTCTATAACTCTTTCTAAATCTTCAACATTGAACTCATCCCACCAACACGGTTCTTTATCATTATCTACTTTCAAACCTTCTTTAATGTATTTTTTGACAGGCAACCAAATACTATCTAAATTTACAGATGGAGACCAGATAAAAATTCTTTCAAATGCTCCTCTATAAATATCAAGTATCATTGATACAAGTAAAGTTGATTTTCCACTTCCAGATGGACCGACGATCATAGCTCTCATCGGCAATTTAGGGACGACCTCATGCTTACTTTGCTTAAAGTCATATTTGATTTCATCAATTGGTTTTACATCAGGCATAATAAAAATAATATTATAAATACATATAAAATAAAAAATATAATATAATTATATCATAATGGCTATAGAATCTATTAATTTAAGTGAAGTGGCTAGTATTCGGAGGATATATAAATTTGGTGATATCTTAGTTCCAGATACTGAACAAATATATTATGATACAATGTTATACTTTTTATCTGCAATTAAAAAACAAAATATCGTAGTATCCAAGTCCTCAATTGAAAATGACAATAACCTAGATTTTAATTTTAGAAAGTTAGTAAATTTTATGAAAGATTATCCCGATATGTATACAAATGAAATGATAAGTAGTGTACAAGAAGTTATTGATATTAATATTCTAGATGTTGATATAGCAACTGCAGTAAAACTTACTAAAGAAAATAGTTTAAATAAATATTCTATTTAATATTAATGGAACATCATTATGTTATGAATGGCGGTGAATAACATAATGGAACAGGTTGTCGCGAAGCTTCGCGAGGCATCGCCGATGCGTCCATTGATTCAATCAATAAGAATTGAAGCTAATTAGTTTGTATCTCTCTCGCGTGTGCAATGAAAACCCCAAGTGCTGTGCCCCACCAATATTCTATTATGCATGAAAATAATAAGATTAAATAACTATTTTATCTTATTATTTAATATGAAAAGGAGTTATACAGATTATATTAATATAATAGATGAAATGGAGAATATAGAACAAGTACTAATAACTAATAATAGATTCAAAAAAATATGTTATTTTATTTTAGAATTAATTAAGTTTGTGATACAATATATTAAAAATATAAATATTAATATAGATGGGGAGAAAGAAAAAGAATAAGACTGAACCAGTTGTTTCTTCAACTGATGAAGAAATTGTTAAAGAAACATCAGTTATTGAGTTTGCTTGTCCAATGTGTAAAAAAATCTTAGAAATGAAGAATGAATTAGAAATACAAAAGAAAGGACATTGTAAATGTTCGTTTATTCCAACCAGTTTCAAAATAAGTAAGAATGATAAGAAAATGAATATTGATAAAACTAAAGACAGTATCAACTTAGAAACAGATGTTCATAATATTGCTATACACTTTGGGAGGGGGGTTATTCCATCCGAGAATGGCGATAGGGAAACACAGGAAACTATACGCGAAATGATGAAAAAATAATAGTTAAAATTATTTCTATTATTATTTATAATGCGAGATGTTATAAATAATATTATTAAATTCATTGATGTAAAAGACTTGAAATTAAATAATTTTATTGAAGAATATAACGAAAATGATATATTAATTAATTTTGTTAATGACTTTAGAAATAGCAAAATTGATTTTAACATGTTTTATAATTCTATTAATTATGCTGATTTATTTGAACAATCAGATTTAAAATTCTATTGTAAAAGAATATATTCATATACTTTAAGATTTATTGCTAATTATGATAATAAAAATGCTATTCAGTTTTATGAAATTACATTGAGAAAAATGAATAATATTTACAAAAATAGTAACATTAATGTTGTTAATGTGTTTGAATGTATTAAATGTTTAATAATTTATATTACAGATAACATTGAAAAGTTTCATAAATAATCAAAATTTAGAAAAACTATTATTTGTAATTGAATTGGTAAATTGAATAATAATTTAACGAGTTACACAATAACTAATTTTGAATTGACTTATAATGATATATGATTTTGTAAAATAAAAGTTTAGTTTTAAAAGTTTTATTTATAATATAATATATATATTTACATGGATGAAGGATTAGAAAAGATTGTTAAAAAACTGAACAAGGTTTTAGAACAGAATAAGAATATTTTAGAAATCTTGCAAGAAATGGAAAAGAAGAAACCTTTAACAAACAGTTATCAAAGTAAAGAAGTAGATAGAACCAATGGTGAATATAAAAATAAGAAACAAACGTATTTAAACAAACTTAATAACAAAGAAATTAAAGAACCGAAGTCTTCCACTATGGCATTTTATCAAATTGACTATGATGAGGAAACGCAACTTTATTCATAAAGTTACATTTACTCATTGAAAACTAAACATAGTTTTTAACGAGGAATCAGGGATTTATTCATAGATAATATTATCTAAATATCTTTAATAATGAACTTATTAGAGATGTTTAGCAGGACAGGCAGTGTTGGACTTGTTGCAAAAGCAAAGGGTTTCAATGGTATTTCATTATTGTAAATTAAGGGCTTAGACGATGGACATCATGGGATTGGGTGATGGGAAACGTGGGATTGGGTGATGGGAATCGTGGGATTGGACGATGGGAATCGTGGGATTGGACGATGGGAATCGTGGGATTGGCCGATGGGAATCGTGGGATTGGACGATGGGAATCGTGGGATTAGATGATGGTGATAGCAATTAGAACAATGGGATGGTTTGAAAAATCAATAGGAAATAATATTTTTACAATGATAAGACGGATGATAAAATAATGAAAATAATTAAGAAGCATTATATAGCTGAGTTAATAAGTTGAACTCATAATATAATTATAACATGTAAAATCTTATATGTTATAATTATATTGAACTTATGGTTTGTTTCTTATTTTTCTTAATGCCTTAAAAATGACTTAAAGAAATAGTGCCTTAATATAATAAGAGGAAAATGAACGGTGATAAAATCAATAATTATATCAATAAAAAATGCTATGATTGTTGTCACTTCAAAAAAGAAAATATGGAATTGTATAAATTGAATTTACCTAATGAAACAGTGAATAATATTATTAATTATTCAATGGATGGTGAAGAAGACATATGTCAAAATTGTAGAAATTGGAGATATTATCAAGAATTAATCAAATGTCTGATGGGAATAAAAAGAATAAATAATAGAAATGTAGAAGATGAGATTTTAATATTTCTAACTGTAAATAAAATACCACCTTATGATTATGTTAAACAGTTTCTTAAAATCAGTAAGAAAAAATATGACATGATTTATGATATATTATGGATGTTGGGATATAGTCAAGAGAAAGGAGAAGATGTTAAAGAAAGTATCAAATTATTTATTGAAAGTAAAAAATTTAATATTCAAAATACATTGAGAGATATTAATATTATTTTTAAAATGATGTATGAAAGAAGAAAGATTTGTCAATTAAATTATTATCCTGTACTGAAATTATAATCATACTATAATAATAACATGTAAAATCTTATATGTTATAATTATACTGTACTTATAGTTTGTAAAGATTGAAATATTTTAATTTTCCTTGATTTGGCTGACTCTTTCAAAGTGCGTTGTTTGAACTTGGTATGCTCTTTTGATTTTTTCGTGCTTTGGCTGTTTGTATTTTATTTTGTTTGATACTCTTCTGATATTTTTTGTTGGTATGTTGCTTTGTTTTTTTTGATGTGTGTTTTTGAGTTTGTGTTCTTTGATGGTTTTTATTTTTGCTTTTTTGTTGGTATGCTTGTTTGAATTATTTAATGTTTTATGCTTTGATTAAATATTTTGTTGGGGGTTGTTCTGGTTTTTGAGTTGCTTGGTGGTTCTTATCTTGTTTTCTGTGAATTTTGCTGATTTTGTTGTATGCTGTTTGATTTTTTGGGTTTGATGTTAGAAGTGCCATTTTATGTATTTTTTCCCCCAACCTCCCCCCCCCACCCCCCCCCAACCTCCCACCTCCTCCCCGCCCGCAGAGCCACGCCCCACGCCCCACGCCTCCGGAAGCTCACCTCGTCCAGCCGCTGGCTCTCCCCAAAGAGCCACGCCACGCTGCTCACCTGCACCTCCGCGCTCCGCTCGCGCGCGCCGCGCAACGTGGCGCGCGCTTCGGTCTCGCTGGGTGGGTGTCTCTCCGGGAAACCTTTCGCTCGGAGAAACGGGAAGGTCGGGAGCCACGCAAAAGGGGGATGAATTTTGGGTGCCCCTGAATATCAGTGGGCACCTTTTTCGTTGCCTTGCTGAGTCGAGACCCGCTGGACGCAACGGCAGAGAGAGAGAGAGAGAACCCCGCAAAAGAGCGAGGTAAAAAGAGGACACCAAAGCGCGAGCCAGGCCAAGGAGCCAACGAAAACGCCTGTAGGGTCCAAAAAAAGGGGACATGAGGAAACCTGGGGAAGGAAGCAGGTTGGGGGGGCAAGAGACGCTCCCCCGCGCTTACTCTGAGAGACGCGAGAAAAAAGAAAAAGAGAAAAAAACGGCCCCAGGGCTACCCAAGTAGGTTCAGGAAATCAATTGTACGCAACACGCTTACTTTACTCTAGAAGATGCAAGAAACAAACGGCCCCCGGCTTCAAGAGGAGCCGTGCACCTCGGGTTTTTCGGGGTATGGCCAAGCACTGCCGCTTCGGCGCTCGGGCGATGACGCCGTCGCCCTGCTCCAAGACCACCCGGCCATCCTTCTCGAGGTGCAACCTGAGCAAAGGACCGGCTGCTTTCTGCTCCCCTGCTAAAAGTGATAAACTTTTAGTGGTTTAATTTGAAAAACCCATTAGTTGGCAAAAAGTTGAAGTCCTAACATCCAGGCAAAATGCACCAAAGAAATGACTGGTGACCCATGGGTGTGGGGGTGCTCTCTACGGACAAAAGCCACAGGCACCAAACCCGATTTGACTGCTGAGATACGCCACAGAACAACTGGGAACCTACGGCTAGACAACTTTCGAAGGAACCTACGGTCAGTCCAATGATTCCATTTACCCCTGTTTTAGATGACGGCCATCATGCACGGGAAATACATTCGAATGGGAACCCAGGATTGATAAATCATAAATCACTGGTTATGGAGGGGATCCAGATCACTTGGGGAGTTGCGCAACCCCTCCCCCCTTCCCCTGCCCCCCCCCCCCCCCGGAACCAGCTTCAGGTGTCTCTTTTGGACTTTGGAGGTCAGGAGTAGTTTTTCATTTCCCCTAAGAACCAGCGGGTTAAACCCCAATCCAACCAGCAAGTCGAAAACACCCGACAGTTCCCGCAACAGGCAGCCAGACCCTCAATCCGCCCTAATAAGGAATCCCCCATTCTTTGCTTCCTTTTTTTTGGGGGGGGGGTTCAAAAGGAACGGGCACTGAACCCCTCGGAAACAAATTATCCCCCCCCTGCTCATGAAACTGTGTGTGTCTTGGAGTCGGGCTCGAACCATTGTCTGTGTGCTCATTCCATCGGCTCCCTAAGCAACCCGAGGGCAACCACCCCAAACACAACTTCCGCGTTTCACGGCACGCCCCTTGCGGGTTGCAGGGGGCGTGCAAACAAGACAAGAAAAAAATGCCGCGTGCTGGCAGAAGAACCAAAACCACTCAGGGATTGGACGCCTCGAGGATCTCAAGGGACTCCCCAAGTCTAGATCCTGTTGACGTAAGCCACACGGAAATAGGTCCAGGTCCAGCCACTTCCCAAACCACCAATGCAGTCGAAGGTCCAAGTTTTGGTGGGCCACAAGCTCAAATCGCCCCAAGGATCCCACAAAGCTTGGCCAGGTTGGGTCAAAGTAGATATCAGGTGTCCCCGTGACTTGCCCACATGAGGGGAATGGGGCCACCTACTTGCACTCTGGTTGCTTATTTACCCTCTCCTCCAATATGGAACCTGGAAGACCATTCCCACCAAAGGATTCTGGATGATTCTGGTGGGTTCATGTCCGCAAATTGGTTTTGTTTCATGCGCTCGGGTCACTGTACGATAGAATTCCCAAAACAAACGGTGGAATCGTTCGAAACCCAACAGATCCACTGCAATGCCTTCCATAAGATAGTCTCCTTCCCTTGGGATACAACCCGTATGGGTGTGCGCTTTTTTGGGGGACCCCCCAAAAAGTGAAAGTGTTCCTTTTGGTTTCCCTTGAAACCAACCAGAAAGGGGCTCCCCCATATAGACGCTCAACAAAGGGAACTTCAACTTGCTTGAACCGCTCAAGCCACGAATCCAGCCGCCTGACCAGTGAAAGTTGAAATGTCAAAAACGATGTCTTAAATGGGTGACTTTCTTGCCGGCCAAAGGAGACATCATCAAAATGACCTCTTATTGCATGGCACTTTTGAGGAGTCCTCAACAAGCAATCAGGGGCGGCAAGCTCCAACTGCACCGACTGCTTCGCTGCTTCGCCGGCTTCAGCCCCACTCTCCCGTGCCGTCCGGTGGCAACGCCGCTCGGTCATACCTGGGGCACGCGAACCGGTGTATGAAGTTGGCAGAGGGAAAACACGAAGAAATGGAAGAGAAAACAGGGTCAAAGGAGGGAAGAAGGGAAGAAAGCAATTGACTTTTAGTTCTACCAGCATGCCTAAAAGGATGTGTATATATGGAATATACAGTGAAGCCGGCAGAGCCCGTGGTCGGAAGTTGCTGAAGAAAAAAACAGTACTGGGGTTCTTGCTTTTGCATTGACGAATCCTACTAAGTCTCATTGAAATGGTCATGGAAACTAGCCATCTGTGAGGCTAGCAATATGTCAAGCTATCTATCTGTTGGGCTAGCAGCTTTCTTTCTGCTAAGCTAGCCACCTGTCAAGCTATCTATCTGTTGGGCAAGCTAGCTGTTGGTCAAGCTAGCTATCTGTCAAGCTCGCCCCTGCCAAACTTCAGATGGTCTTCGTTGCGGGCCTGAGCATCACCAGCGCTTGAGTAGAGGCAATGCGTCGCAAACTGAAGGAAGTAAGGGAACGAAAGTTCTTGAGGCAGAAACAAAGTTGAAAGCTTTGCGACTGGAGAAGCCAAGCCGGAAGACAGATCAGCCAGGCTCCAGTCGATGAGTATAATGACAGCAGTGCAGGAAGGAAGGCTCCGCAATCTGCGCAGCATGATCCTGCAGTAGTCAAAGATTTCGCCTGCGCGCCAAAACGTGCCTCCACTGGAGCGGGCAGTCGACTCAAGTTCAGCTTAAAAAGAAGATCTGAAACTTGGGTAGACGCAGAAACCATGCCAAGGAAGAGAGTGAGGAAGGCTCCAATTGATGAGAGTTTTGACTAGCATGGACAAAGCCTACAATGGTGACAGCCGCAAACAGGGTAGGTGGATTTTGAAGGGTGTAGAACTGCACAGGGATAAAGTACCCAGATAGATAGATAGACAGACAGACAGACAGACAGACAGACAGACAGACAGACAGACAGACAGACCAGACAGACAGACAGACAGATACATAGATAGATCGACAAGACAAGACAACACAAGACAAGACAGATTAGATTAGAGCAGAGTAGGTTAGATAGAAGATAAGATCAGATCAGATAAGAAAAGATAGACGGCTAGATGAGATAGATAGAACAGGATAGGATAGGACAGGATAGGATAAGATAAGATAAGAAAAACAAAGACAGGGTAGACAGGGTAGACAGGGTAGACAGGGTAGACAGGGTAGATAGGATAGATAGGATAGATAGGATAGATAGGATAGATAGGATAGATAGGATGGACAGGATAGACAGGAAGGAGAGATAGATAGATGGATAGGCAAACAGGGGTGGACGGATGGACGGATGGATGGATGAGTGGATGGATGGATGGATGGATGGATAGAATCTAGCTAGATAGAATCTAGATAGATAGAATCTAGGTAGATAGAATCTAGATAGCTAAAATCTAGATAGATAGACTCTAGATAGAAATAGTCTAGATAGCTAAAAATCTAGATAGATAGAATCTAGATAGACAGAATCTAGCTGGAGCCAGATAGATTCTAAACAGATAGAATCTAGATAGATACAATCTGGATAGCTAAAATCTAGATAGCTAAAATCCAGAAAGATAGAATCTAGATAGTAGGATAGGGTAGGATGGGACAGGAATAGGATGGGATAGGATAGGATAGGATAGGATAGGATAGATGCGTAGGTAGGCAGGTAGATAGGGTCGGATAGGATAACAAAAGAGAACATAAGATAAGATAAGATAAGATAAGAGAAGAGAAGACAAGACAGATAGATAGATAGATAGATGATACTAAGCATACTATACAGGGAGTGGAGCCAGTCAAGTGGTGAGGAAATGCTTTTGGTTGCATGTGATTGTGTTGTTCTTTTTTTGTTGGGGGGGGGGGAAGTTGTAGTATGTCATTGCTTCTATGGCAAAAAACCATGGTGTCTGCGAAAGCGCATGAAAGACCAAGGACGGTGTCGAATGTGCCCTTCAAACATAAGATCCTTTCTGAGAGCTGTTTTGGGGATGCGTTCAAGGGAAACACCCATGTCCGCCGACATTGTTCGGCGTGTCGGATACCTAAGAGAGGATAGAGGATAACCCCCCCCGTAGTCCCCCCCCCCCCCCGGACACGTCAATTACGCAGGGTCCCCCCCCCCTCCCCCTCCGACCGCGCGGCAATTTGATGGCGTTCCACTAAACGTAGTCTTCGGGGAGCCGGTGTCGCAAAACAGGGCCAGGCTCGATTTCCTGCCAGCTCTTTGCTGGTTTGGGGTTCCTGCCTCCTTTTGCCGAAAATCTGGAAAAAACTCTGTGTGTTTGGACGTCCTAATTGCGAAAACGCTGGAAAAACCGTGTTTTTGGCGGCAAATATTGGGGAGCAAAGCAAGGAAGTGCAAGGAAATGAGGGGAGGAAATAGGAAGTCGACATGACAGGAAAGCAGCGGGACACGAAAGGGAAACCAAGGGAAACCAAGGGGAACTGAAAGGGACACGCAAGGGACAGAAATGAAAACAAGGGGAGTGCAGGGGAAAGGAAAGGGAAACAAGGCACAAGGAAACCAATCGGCACGACGGGAGATGTAGGGAAATGACTCGCAACGAAAGAACGGGACATACATGGAAAAATGTCAGGGACATGAAGGGGGGGGGGTTGAACGGCCTGGAAGGGACAGGACCAGGACATCATGGGAAACGTGAAAAGGACATGAAGGGGAAATCAAGGAGAAAGCCAGTAGTGAGATGACAGTTCCAGGTCATGCAGGGGCCGTGCCCGGACATCGAGGCAACTCAGGGGGGGACGTGACTGCAATGCAGAGAGAGAGAGAGAGAGAGAGAGACAGGGAGAGAGCGGGAGAGAGAGAGAGAGAGAGAGAGAGAGACAGAGGCAGAGCCAGAGACAGAGCCAGAATCCGAGAAACAGAGAAAGAGACAGACAGAGAGAGCGACAGCGAGAGAGAGAAAGACAGAGACTGAGAAAGAGAGACACAGAAAGACAGAGAGAGAGAGAGAGAGAGAGAGCAAGAAAGTGAGAGAGTAGAGAGGTTCGAATTAGGGTACCCTTTTTCTGTAGAGGGGCGTGGACAGGAAGGAGACAGGGAGACAGAAAGAGACACAGAAACAGAGACAGCGAGAGAGAGAGAGAGAGAGAGAGAGAGAGAGAGAGAGAGAGAGAGGGAGATTGAGGAGAGAGAGGCTTGGGGGGATGGGGAGGATGGGGAGGATGGGGAGTAGAGGGAGGGAGAGAGGACGACAGAACGCACGAGGGAGACAAGGCAGAGAGGAAGAAGAAGAAAAGGGAGAGGACGGTGTTGGCGGACTGAGCCGGAGGCTCTAAAGTTGAGTTCTTTAGAGACAAACCCACATGTTGATTTGCGTGAGTTGGGCACGTTGTCATCTTGCGTGCCTGCTGGTTGTTTTGCTTCCCACCAAAGACGCCTCCGCAACCAAGCCGGCGTCAATCAACCCCGAATCGGACTCCCATCGAGGGTTCTGAGGCGCCTAGGCCGCGCAAGGTTGAGCCCTTCACCCTCTCAGGTGAAGATAGTTTCGATGTTGTTTGCAGAATTGCTTGCGCACGCTCCTTCAACCCTTCCAACCATGGATCCATGAAGCTCCTCAAACATATTCCCTACGAGCAGGAAAGGAGATGGGTCAGCAGCCAATGGCACCTCTTGAGTGAGCCCATGTCCTGCTGAATTTCCTCTCGGTGTTTTCCCTTCTTGGGCCCGTCCTCGACCGCCTTACCGCCCGACCGCCCCGGGAAAAAAACCGAGGCGCTTGGGCAGGTCCCCGCGCTCGGGGCGCTCGGGGGCGGCCAGAACGGCGCCCAGCAGCATCTCGGGCTGCGAGAGAGGCGCCTCCTGGGCGAGGTGTCCCGCACCGCAGCCCGCATCCACCACCCCACACTCGCATGCGCGCATGTGCGCGGAAACGCAAGGCGAGCGACGTGCACGAGCTGACAAGGCACGCCAAGGACACGTGCACACAAACTGAGACAGAGATAGAGATAGAGACAGAGACAAGACAGAGACAGAGCGAGAGAGAGAGAGAGAGAGACAGAGAGAGAGGGAAGGAGAGAGAGAGAGACAAAAAAAAGAGAGAGAGAGAGAGAGAGAGGGAGGGAGGGAGGGAGGGAGGGAGGGAAGGAGAGAGAGAGAGGGAAAGAGAGAGAGATGCACGCACCCGCAAACACACAAAACATACAACTCTTCCGCCCTGTGCGGTCAAGAGAGTAATCCGCAGCTTCCATGTGGCCTGGTGTGCGTTCCCTTCGCTCACAGACCGCACCCAATCAACTGTTTGTTTGAAGCATACCTGATTTAAAGGATCCCGAATTGCCTGCACGTATGCCGAAAGGAACAGCAGTACCTTTACCAGCGTATCCCCACCCCCGAACCTTCAGGGGAGGTCGGTGGTGGGTTTGGTCAGGGAAAAGATTCTGAAACTTATGAGGGTCGGGGGGGTGGAGGGCTGCAGTTGGAGGGTTCTCTTTATGGGATGGCCCCCCCCTCATTTTGAACCAAGTTCGAGGGTTACATCTCCAATTTTCCCGAAAATAGAACAAGCAATCTCCATTGCCCCAGTCTGCTCACTCGCCCTTTGCAATAGCCCAGCAACTTCCCTGGGTTGAACAAGAAGGAATGACTAAACGATGCTCAAAGCGACGTTAAAGAAAACAAATAGGCAGTTTCAAGAACCAACCCAACTACAACTCTTGGCATGGTAGCGAGAAACTTGTTGTTTTACAGCCCCCAGTAAAAATGGCCAGAACCAAAAAGCTAAAAACCGTCAACACATGGCAAGAGCAGTGAAGATCATAGGGGGCCTTTTGGAAAAATAGATGGGATTCCCTGGCAAATGGGGCATAAACTCCATCTGCACCAGGAATCGCCCTCTATTTTTAAGCAAAGCAACCACAAAGGACACCTATGGTGAAGATACCAAAAGCGGTTGGCAGTGGGTCAAAAATATGTACCAAAATGGAAACATGGATTAAACCTGCGGTCCCCTGGTGGTTTAATTTTGACCCACAGCCACATGGCAAGAATTCAGAACAGTGAAGACACCAACAGCGGTTGGTGGACAACAAGGGAACAACAAGGAATGACTAAAAGATGCTCAAAGCGACACTAAAGAAAACAAATATGCAGTTTCAAGAACATAAAGGACACCACAAGGGACACCTATGGTGCAGATACCAAAAGCGGTTGGACATGAATCCCCTGACTCTGCGGTCTGAGCCGCAGTGGGCAATTTGCCCAACAGCCATCTGCCCGGGCGCACCACTGAGGAGCTGCTCAGCGTGCCCTGGAAACTGTTTTACCCTTTACTTGGTTGACGTTGGAAGGGGAGCAAAAATTTATTTTTTAGCACTCAAGTGGGGATTTCAACCACTAAACCACAATAAGCAAAAATGCAACATATTTCCCAACAACCACCATGTTTAGTGGGTTAAATGGAAATCGCCACTAAACACTAAAAGGCCACAAAGCTAAGGAACCGGATGGCTGGGAGCCACCAAGTTTTGCTTGGTGGGAGTTTCTTTTTGCTACCATACTAAGAGTTGTAGAGGTATTCTTTGGAAGTGTGGGTTGGTTCTTGAAGCTGCATCTTTGTTTTCTCAAGCGTTGCTTGTGCATTTTTCAGGCATCCCTCTTTGTTCGGAGCCAGGGAAGTTGCTGGGTAGGGTGAGAAGCAACTGAGCAACTAAAAGGATATGTTGTGCGAAGATATCACCCGGACACTTGGACCTCTGTATTTAGTAGGGCTCCCATAGAAAGTCTTTTGCTAGTTCAGGATCAGGGCGCTGTTTGTGGGCCTTTAGAACATTTTGCTCAACCACGCTGACCTAAACGGACACCTCTTGTGGATCTATACAAATCCACCACAGGCGCCAGCGGAGATGGCTGAACCTCGTGGAGAATTTTTGTCAGGTCATCAGCCACTGGGGCCAGAGGAGTAGACCTAAGAGTCAAACTGCTCACTTCCGGGTTGGACACAGGGCTTAAAAAGCCAACAATCACAGGTGTCCTTCTTTGGAACATAGATGCGTTTCCCTGGTAGATTGAACCACCGGGTAAACCAGGAATCGCCTCCTATTTCTTAAGCAAACCAACCAAAAAGAACACCTATGCCAAGAATCCGCAGGAACTCAGGGAGTCATTGGGGTAGGATCAGTTTTTACACATGCCTGCCAGACAAGGAACCATCTTGTCACCTCTCTCCCCCAAAGCCGTCTCCCGCCCGTTTTTAGGGGCTCCGGAAAACCGATGCAGTGGAAAAATTGAAGAACGGCGCAGGGGCCATCGGTCGCGAGAGGTGCCAAGCCTCTGATTCTTTGGGGCGGTTTGGAAGGAAGGCCCGGGGTCTTAGACCCAACGAGCTACACCCTACACACGTGGGTGTGTGTTTCCTGTCCGGGGACCCTGTAAAAGCTTGGTTTTTAATGGGAAACCGGAAAGAAAAAAAACACTTCTGGGGATCCCCGAAAATCAAAAACACCCCCGGAAGTTTCTTTAGGGGAAACCGAAAAGAAAACCAACAGTCATTTTGTTTTGGGGGGATCCATTGAAAAAAGATACACCCATACGGATAGCAGAAGGTAGGAAGCGGTTTTTTTTCAGGGGAGCGAGCCTTTCACAGGCGCTGGAGAAACAAGCCAGAGGCCAAGTTGGGCGACAAAGACTTTGAAACAAAGTTTGCACTCCAAAACCGCACCCTCAAAACAGCCACCACCCAGAGAGAGAGAGAGAGCTGATTCTCAGCTTCACCCCAGGTTGCCATAGTCTTGCGTGCCTTCCTGAAAAAAAAATGACGGGCAACCGCTCAAGCCACGCAAGGTGTGCGGACAAGTGTCCTTTTGGGCTGATGCCCGTTTGGAGGGCTCTATGTGAGCTTTCCGGGGAGTAAGGCCGCCCCCCCCCCCCACTACTGCGTCACTGAGGGAATTGGTTCCCCAAGTATGACAAATGGTGGCCATCTAAAAACATTTTGTTCACCACGTTCCAGATTCAGGCGGAGGTGACGAAGACCCCCTGACTGGAACCAGAGAGCACTTGACTGTGCAATGGCAAGCAGCCACTGTACAACTCCAATAGGGCACCAAATACATTGCCTTTCCATAACATCAACCCAACAGAAGGAAACTCACTGACAATGGTGGTTCCCAAAAGTTCCTGTTTAAACCAGCCAAGGGGGAAGCACAAGAGCCCCCCAAATGCAAGTCCTTATTATGTGTTTTTTCTCCTCCCTTTACCCCGCAGGTATCAGCGAATGGCATACGTCCAGGTGGAACCCTTTTGTCTAAAAGGGGGTTTTGTGCAAACGCCCGAAATCGGAAACAACCACCCCTGCGTCCTTCCCCAGTTGTCGAGGGCCCTAGAGCAAAAATCGGATCAACCGTTTTTGTTTGTTTCCCTTGTTGGGCGCAAACTCGCAGGGATGCGCATTTTGGACGACTCTAAGGGGAGCATATATATATATATACACAAGCATATATATATATATATTCATTTATAGATGCATATCTATGATATATGTAATTATATGTAATTATATGTAATTATATGTAATTATGTAGAGACGCATATAAACGCACGGGCCCCAAAGGCGTAGGTTTCCTCTTGGACCATTGGGGGCATGCCAACAACCCCAACTCAGCTTCCCTCTAGTGGTTTGCAGTTGCGGGGTGGCGGTGCAGGTGGTTTCCCATGTACCCTCTACAGGAACCAGAGGTTCAAATCCTAATTCAAGCCACCAGCTACAGCCTGCCCGACCAATTGCAAAGACAAGTGTTTGCTAAAAACTTAAATGTATTTGTTGTATGTATGTATATATTTGCAGATATTATGTGTGTGTATGCTGAGCCACCCCACCCACCCCCATGATCTACCGTTTTAGGGACAAACCAAAAACAGGAAAAACCAGGACCCAGGCTTCCGTTTTGTGACTGCTTTGGGGTAGACGGAAAACATGAAACGTTCCCCTTGTTGGAAAATCAACCACTGGGTTTTGGGTCTGCCTTGGAGCGCCGTCAAAAAACGGAACCCTGAGAGAGGTACCCTTTTTGGGGTTGGCTTTAGAAGGGAAAACTGTGAAGGAAAACTGACTCCATGTTGTAAAGGGGTCCCCAACAAAAGAAAAATCAAAGAAAACAAGACCGAAAACTATAAAGGACCACTGAATCCGTTGTGCCCCTGGGTTTCAAGCAAAAAACAACAATTATGTTATTATTATATTATCTATATATAAAAAAGGAACCCCGCCAGCCACCCGTTGCAGGGCTCACGCCAAGTTCCGATGGCCACGCCTGCAGCACGGCGCCGCAGGTGCAAAGCACCAGCTCCGGGCTGCGTGCGCCTGGCTCGCAGACCTGGCGGCCAGACAAGGGGAGCAGGTGCTACCGGGCACCATATACAAATGTGTGGAAATGTGACACATATGTATATACATATATAACAAAACCCGAGTCCATGGGGGGGGGGGGGGGTACCACATGAATATATATATATATATAATATATATATATATATATGTATATATATATATATGTATGAGAAATATCGATATGTATACATATATATATATTTAAAAAAGACATGTATTGGATAACCGTATTGGATGAACATAACATGTATCTGTATATATATATATCATGTATGTCAGGGAGTACATGGAACAATCGGCCTTTTCCCCCTGTTTTTAACTTCAACCATCATGTGCAACATTCATGTAGTCAAACAAATGAAACCGAATGGAAGCACCAGCATCACCAACATCGTCCATCAGCCAGCATCACTAGCATTACCAATATCCCCAGCATCATCCGCGGGTAAGATCGCCAGGTGCGAAAATTGGGTGCTGCCTAGCGGTACCATCATTCTACATGTCCAAGACCTGAAATAAGAGTTGGATCCCCAAGCCAAGGACCTTCATCATAGCGAGCCCGTTTTCTCCGTGGTCAGCTAGGCGTAAAATAAGCAGATCTGTGATATGTGATTTGTGTATATGTCTATAGATACATATTCTGTATGCATGTGTGTGTGTATATATATATATATATATGTCGTAATCCCCATGAAACTTGAACCTGCCCGCCCCCCAAGAGCCCGTCTGGTTGGAGGTACTGTATGCTATCTTAAAGGCGTAACCCCTCATATCACCAAATTGAAATTAGACTGCTTTTACTTCAAATTTGCTGATGGCTTCAATATTGCCTCAGGGTGCAAGGAAACCTTCCTTCCAATCAAGAGGTACTGCGTTCAAGCAGCACCTACCCTTCTACTCACCCTGCCCAGGTGGCTTACAGGGTATGTGCCAAAACGGGGGATTTGGACCCCCAAAATCGTGGTTTCCCCCTTGGTTTCCCTGAAGACCACCGCCCAAGCGTCCGCTGTTGTGGATGACATGGGGAGACGCACACCAGAATCTTGTCAGGGTTACTCACCGCCTTAAATTCCATGTCAGTCGACAACATCATGAATACTGACCATGGCCAATGTTGCTTGCCAGCTAGTTGCAAACCATCAAGAAGACAAAGTAGCTCCACAAGCACGTTCAACTACCTCGGCACTGTCCAACGAAAAGCGTCATGCATGTTGACATTACGCTTCATAAGGGCGTGTCTTGCTTGTGCTGCCTGGCTGGTTTGTTGGTGTGTGTGTGGTTGGAGTGTTGGTTTGCTGGTGTGGGCTTGTTGATTTGCTGATTTCTTGGATTGTTGGCTTCTGGACTCATTGGTTGGTTTGCTTGCTTGTTAGTTCGTCCCCTTCCACTAGCACCACAAAATTGAAACTTACCAAGCATGATCATTTCGGGAATGCCCAAAACACCTAGCAGAGAAGCGCAAAACCCTCCCTTCATGGAGAAGCCATACACAGGACCTGTTTGCGGGATATGACCTTGAGCTGCCCATGAATAACCCTAGGAACACTGCTGTGGATGACCGAAACCACCTAAGAAACCCTGGAAATGATGATTCCCCCATAAATACCAACAAACAATGGTTTCAACCATGGTTTCAAAGGGGTGCGTTGGATTTCGCCACCATCCACAGTACACGATGGTTGGGTACTCATCAAGCTGTACCTTGGCCCTGACAACTCCAATGGCGCAATCACTGGGCTTCAACTGAGAGGACTGGCAGCTCGGGTCAGACGCTCAGGGTCCCAAAGTGGGAAAATCCCCATTCTCACCGACCAAAATAATGGTCGCATCTCTACCCAAAACAAAGATTGCACGTGGCATGTCCTTTTTGGTGGCGTTCGGCCGGCCGCCTGGCTTTTTTTCGTGGCTCGATCGACCAGATCCGCCTCCAGATCCGCCCATTGGGAGGTAAGCTGCACCCGGTAGACCAGGGGGCCCGCCATCCACGGAAAATTGGTTGGGTGGGTCAGTCTGGCTGGTTGGATGGGTTGGGTTGCGTGGTTGGGTCCGTGGCTTGGGTAGGTTGGGTTGGGTTGGGTTTGGGTTGGGTCGGTGGCTTGGTTGGTTGGGTTGGGTTGGGTTTGGGTTGGGTCGGTGGCTTGGTTGGTTGGGTTGGGTTGGGTTGGTTGGGTTGGTTGGGTTGGTTGGGTTGGTTGGGTTGGTTGGGTTGGCTGGGGGTGCGGCGCTGGGTGCGGCAGGGGGCGGTTTGCTCTCGCATGTTGATTGCGGATCTCATTTTATTACTTTTGGGACCCGGCGGTCCCCCTTTAAGCCACCATGAGGGTAATTTAGAGGGAAGCAACTTGTGAGTAACAATCAGTTGGCATACCCAACCAATGGATGCATGGATACAGCTACCACCCATGATTGGGGCAAACAACGTGCGTGTTTCTTCTTCTTCTTTTTTTTTGCGGCTGCACTGAAACGCGCCGTCTGCACCAATACCTATAAAACACAATCGTTTTCCACCCCCTTAACACTAGCAAACGTGCCTGGGCGTCGGACACTCTGAAAGAAGGACCCCTGAACATGAGGAACAGCCGGAACCTTTGACCAACCTAAGTTAAGACGTCTCATAGGGACTTTCATACTTTCATGGGATCTGCTTTACACGAGCCATAGTGCAGATGTGGGCAAGTTCCCTGGCTGCTCGGAGTCTTTGACCAAGGTGCAAATCCTCCACAAATCAAGAGTTGCCATATTTTCACAAACCCTTCCTAAGGCGACCAAACGTGGGCCGCGTGTTCAAGGCTGCTGGAGAAGGAATCATCATGGCTTCTGCGCTAGGCCAGACCTAGCCCTACCCAGGGTTGACCAATTCTGGACTCCTCAGTAGTTCTCTGGATTCCCATTAATTCACAGACTAATGAGGAATCCAAAGTCACCCTTTTGGCTGAAGCAGCGGACCACTTGAAAAAGCCCCTCTTGGGAATATGTGCCAAAATGCAGGGGCAACCCTTGAACCTTTCAATTATAAGGGTGGATGTTCAACAGATCCGGCTATAAGAATTCAAAAAGCCACACGAGGCAATACACAATGACACTGAACTTGGTGAGTGACCCTAAGTTTCCAAGCCTCATTGGGCAATGTCGGTGATTTTCGACAAACCATGTGAACAATGGGCACACCTTGGGCAATTGAAGCTCGCTGTGGAAAGAATCATGCATGGCAGATGCACAAAGCGGGCTCAAGCCAGAGCCCCTTCTGCGTATTCCAACATGGGCTGCAACCCAAGCTTAACAACTCGACAAGGTACATTCCGACACTTCGCCAACCGAAAGTAAGATTCTCCATGAAAGGGATTGTGAAGCCGCAATAAGTTGCCCAGTCTGGCAGGTCATTGCTTGCTATCCCGCTCAAGGAGATTGTCAAAAGCCAAGCGCCCCAGCTGACCCCTCAAAGCCCGACATGTTGCGTTAGATCTGCTTTTGCGGGGTCGGCTCCAGCCGCAAAACCGGGCGACTACCAAGGCGCGAATCTTCCCAACCAGACACTTCCCAAATTGAACCAAACTAAGACATGATCAAAGAAGGATTTGGATGAGTGTTTGGTCGTTTATGTTGGCGTTTCTCCAAATTGGAGCACCCTACAGGCGGTTGGGTCATACATGTCCACAAGCAGAACGCGCAAGCCGTTCCCACCACACCTGGTACGCCACAGCCCGGCGCCGGGCTGTTGGGGGACCTGGCGTTCGCCAGGTCTATGAACGGGTGTCAGAGTTTGTTGGGCAAACGAAAATACGCATCTCCCTAAACAAACCAGCAAACTACATTTATTTAAAAAAAGCGGGGGGGGGCCTACAAAGAAGACACACTCATATGGGCTTGTCTCGAAATAGAAATACTCCCAACCCCGAAATGGGTATCCAAAATACACACCCATTTCGGTTCTTTTGAAGAATTAATACACACCCATTTGCTCCCCTTCGGTTCTTTTGAAGAATTAATACACACCCATTTGCTCCTCCTTCGGTTCTTTTGAAGAATTAATACACACCCATTTGCTCCTCCCTTCGGTTCTTTTGAAGAATTAATACACACCCATTTGCTCCTCCCTTCGGTTCTTTTGAAGAATTAATACATACCCATTTGCTCCTCTCTTCGGTTCTTTTGAAGAACTAATACACACCCATTTGCTCCTCCCTTCGGTTCTTTTGAATTATTCCGACACGGCAGTTTAGCATGGCTGTGTCACATTTCTGAAGCACGCGCATATTCCGTATACCCCTGGGCCCAAGTGTTGCTCCCCAGTTTCGCGGGTGTAGCTGGGTGTCTTTTTGAGGGAACATTTTTGGGGGGTTCGTTGCAGAGGCCCGCCCTAAAAAGACACAAAGAAAGGGTTCGTTGCAGAATCCGTCTTAATGACCCGGGTTTTTTTAGTCTGCCTTCCTGGCCGACCACTTCTGAGTGTAGTACAGGCTATGCAAAGGACCGACTGGCCCATTTTTTATCTGTACCCTGGCATCCCCCCCCTTTTCCCCGCAAGGTTGGGGTTTGGACCTCCCTTCAAAACACCGACCTTGGGGTCAATCCGAATTGCCTCCAAAACGAGCAACCGCCAGAACGAGGGCGGTTAAGAAATTTCACACCCGGCGATTTTGATTCGCAAGTGATCAAAACCGCACTTGCTTTGCTTCCCCAAGCAGAAACTTTTCTGCTCAAGCCTTTGGGTTCCCAGTTCGGTTCCCTCCCTAAGGTGACCGCAAGCTTGCTTCCCTTCGGGACACTTTTTTCGGAGGTTGGGCGTCTTGCGTCACCCACGTGCGCAATCGCAATGTTTGGATGACTGGATGACTGGATGGATGGATGCCGCGGAGGCGGGCCGCACTAGGCCCAAGCGAAGCGCCAGGCTGGTCGGGAGCAACACGAAGAAAGCTGGTCGGGAGGTGAAAGAACCTCCACGTCGGGAGTTTCTCAACATGGCCCCCTCCAACCAAAAATGGGTCCACAGCTTTGAGAAACACTCAAAAGAGCGACCCGGGGGTCCACGGGTTTGAGAAGCACTCAGCTTATCCCATACATTCTCTGCATCAGCAATGGGGGCCCGGGCCAGTACCACTGGCTGCTCGGGGAAGTGCTCGGCCGCTTCGCTTGCGGCATCGTAGACCTGTGGGACCCGAATGCCGCCCTCCTCACCTATCCTGCCTTAAAACAACCCTATCCTTTAACATCATGGAGTCATTTACCCCCGCACAGAACTCACCCTCTCTCAGCCTATGTTGTCCGTTTCGGGATTCAAGCCATTGATTCGGAGTTGGCTGAGGGGGTACTTGCCGCGCTGATCTGCTCAGACTGTCACAGATGATTGGGACCCTGAAGCTCGTCCCATCTTTCCCGTTGTTGGGTTCAACCCAGTTCGACCAAAAAAAAGCAACTCACCCTGAAATTGAACCCCAGCATGGGATCGTTGGAACTTGCCCGGATTCGTTCACAGGTTCCTTTCATGAAAACCAAAGCTCATTCTCCCACACGCTCACGAGCCTATTCAAACTTCGAATTGAGGCCTCTGCTCTCACTTCCTGGAGGGTCCAAACATTTTTTGCCACTGAAATGCTACAAAAACAAGGAATGTCCAAGAACAAAAGGAGTGAGGGATTGACAAAAAACCCTGCACGTTCATAAACAGTCTCCGTCTGTGTCCAACTTCAAAACATCACCCAACATGAAAGTCAGCGGCGACCAGCAACCAAAAGGTGATGCTACCACCAAAAGGTGATGCTTAAACCACCCGAAAAAAGAATGGAAATGCCAAGAATCCTTCTGGTCGTTGGTCAATCTTCGAGCACACTTGTCCTTTTAGTAACCTGGAAAGGCTACCCTGCGCCCCACATCCCAGTTCAGTGACCCGTCCAGGGAACCCTTTTTTGCCGCTGGACCGTTTGGTGCGGTCTTCCCTTTTTTTTCTCGCGGACACCCCACACTGGGATTTGGGTGTTCCTCTTGGCGCAAAAACACCAACAGACAAAGGAAAAAGGGCGACCAACCACAGAAAAAGGGCGATCACCCGGACGAAAACCCACGGGCTTCACCGCCAAAACCCACGGGCTTCGCCGCGTCCGAGGCCAAACCAAGCCCCCGCCCCGGCGGAAGAACTCCCCGACCTGGCGCGACGCCTGGGGAAGCTGCTGGAGGGCGCCGCGAAGGCCTTGGGAGGGGGAGAAGGGGGAGGTGTTCTGTTCTTGCTTCGCTTTCTTTCTTTCCTTGCTTTCTTTCTGTCTTTCTTTCTTTCCTTGCTTTCTTTCTGTCTTTCTTTCTTTCCTTGCTTCCTTCCTTCTTTCTTTCCTCCCTTCCTTCCTTCCTTCCTTCTTTCTTTCTTTCTTTCTTTATTTCTTTATGTCTTCCTTTATTTCTTTCTGTCGTTCCTTGCTTCCCTCCTTTCTTTCTTTCTTTTCGTTCTTTCTTTCTTTTTTTAAGGGGGGGTCGTACTTTTGGAAACCAAACAAGAAAATGCAAACATCCCGAGTGAGGGAAAATTCTAAGTCGTCTAGAAACCTTTCCCCGAGAAATTGCAAACCAAAACCTGGCGGCAGCAAAGTGACGAATGTCTAAGAACAAGCAAAGTTCAGACACATTGAACTTGGAACTTCAGACAAGTGAAAAATGTCGCAGTCCAAAAACCTTACACACGCAACGGTTGACAGGTTTTTCTGTGGAAGCTGGCTTTCTCGACTTAAAATTTCTTCTGGCAGCAAGAAAGGGTGTGCTGGGGTTGAAGAAGTACAAAAGTCATCCTTTGAGAAATTTGGGTTTAAGAAAAGCTTTTTCTTTTCGTTTGATGTTGGCAGCATTTGATGGCACTTTCAGAGGATGTTGCAAGTCTCACTTTGTCACAGTTTATAAGATGTATGTCAAGACTGGATTTTGAAAAAGTGACAAATGCCTGAGAACAAGCAAAGTTCAGACACATTGCACTTGGAAAATTTCTTCCAGCAAGCAAGGAAGGGTGTGCTGGGGTTGAAGAAGTACAAAAGTCA